TGAAGAAGACATGCTTGATTTCACACATCATCTCGTCCTACACCCACACTGAAGAAGGACTTTAATATACAATGTACAGATCTTGCACCTGCAATCACCAACAATGACCTACCCTACGCATCGCCACTCCTGGGACGTCAAGACCCCCTCTTCTCCTACATCCACCCGTCTGCATTATCCTTCCCTGGCTTCGACTCCCACTAGCCAACGTGTTTCACAGTCCTCGTATGCGTTACCGAGCCCCCAAGGTTCTACTCCCCGACTCACAGCAACATCCGGCCACAATCCCTTCGCCCTAGCCAAGAAGCCACATCCAGAGCCCCAGGATCAGTCAAATTCGAGTTTTGATGCCATCATTAATCGTATCATTGAATTCCTGAGTAATCGGCACTATTACGACTTGGTCATCCCTGACATTCCGGCACAAATTGCCACAAAAGTTGTTCAGTATTTCAACTATGTAGTTAAGGCCCCTAAAGCCTACCCCAATCTCCCAGCCAAGTTACTAGAGAGATTCCGGTAGTTTTCCCTCTCTCTAAAAGTTTCCGTGGCAGTCGATAAAGCTAACCATTACCTTGCTTGGACTATATATAGATACACCTACGACTCCGCCAGCGCTACCCTTGCAATCCAGGGTATGCCAACTAAATCTAATGACACCCTCGCTGAATTCTTCAGCTCTACCGACTTTACCATACAACTGCTCCAGAACCCAGGAGCCTTTACCTCCACCGAGCGCCTCCGTATCAAACCTTGGCTGTCCAACATTGCTTTGCCTGGCTCATCCAAACGTACCTGGACGGGTCAAATAAACTAGGCCACAGGGAAAAGCTTGGCGACTATGCCTTGGTATATATTCCAAATGGCAAGAGTGGAAAGCAGCCGGTATTCCCACATGTTATAATGGAAGTGGGATTTTCCTAGGAGTATGACTAGAAGAAACGAAGTGTGCTTGCAGATGTGTGGGAGTGGTTGGTCGCAACCGAAGGGGGGGTGAAGTTGGCGGTCTTGGTTAAGATTGAGGAGGGTGAAGTCCCGGGTAAGACGATTGAGCAAATGGAAGGGTTTGGCGAGTTCGGTGACAACAACGATAGTGGTGGTGATGATGATGATGATGAAGAGGATAAGGAGAAGGAGAAGAAGGAGGAGGAAAGCGATTCGTACTCTGACCCAGAGGATTACTATTGCAGGATGGATGACATGAAAAAAGATGCTGACAAGTGGATTGGAAAATACACAGTGTTTATGGAAACATGGGTATGAGCCCACAACGGGAGGGATCTCAGAAAAGCAACCATGTCAGGTAATGCACCCTCTGTTTGATCCCCATATTCCTAACATTCACGAGGTACTTATTACCCTATTTGACTATAGTACTTGATGATTAAGAATATCCCCACATCTCCTATGCCAACCCTCACCTTTACCCGATCCACATTCGACCTTCCAAATCTACCCGATCAACATGATAATGAGCAATTCTGTATCGACCTAACCCAGTATATAAAGAATCTACTCCGCAGTAGGGTTCAGGATGCATTTCGAAGGAAGACGCAATGGATTTCAAGGCGGAAAGAAAAATGGAGGCGTGCAGAAGGGGATGATGCCAGGGATTGTGATTTCGTTGAGGCAGTGACGAGATAAAGAGCCCAGGAGTCGGTAGGAGACAGACAGGGCATAGATAGGGGCGATAGTGATGCAGACACCAGTGAAAAATCCAGAGGGAAAGTGAATGCTAGGGCGCCGAAAAGGCCCAAGAGAGACGATAGTGATGCAGACACCAGTAAAGAAATCCGGAGGGAAAGTGAATGCTAGGGCACCGAAAAGGCCCAAGAGGGATCTACTTTAGTAGGATGGGAGTGAGGCTAGATCGTTTGTATTGAATCAGCTCTGTGACTCGCTATCCAATAGTCTTTCATGTGCCAAGTATGAATAAAAGGACAACATAAATATACGTACCATCAAGTTGCTACCATAAACAGGCACAGTGGTCTAATGGTATGACTCCTGCTATGTAGGTACCTGCTGATTTCAAGCAGAGGGTGGGTGATCTGGGTTCAATTCCCAGCTGAGCCGATTATTTTTTTACCTTTTTTCGCACGAGGATTCTTCTGGTTAGCAAGCTCTACCAGCTCCAACTCCATTCCTATCTCTATTTCTCATACCCCCTTGAACCTTTCCCATCTGACGGTCTTCCGCGTACGTCAGAGAAAGGTCGTTGCTTTTGCTTAACTGTATCAAGCTTTTTCGAATAAAACCTAGGAAACAGTATTTCTTCTTCAAAATTTTAAATTTTCGGATTTAGCTTTATATGCCAGCCGAGGGTATGGACGGTAGGGATAAGAAGTACTACTTCATGGTTGCGAGCCTTTGTGGGATGAGAAATCGAGATAAGGCTTGACGTTCTGTGCTACAAGCCGAGTTATTTGACACTGGAAGTATCGAAACTGCAAGTACCTCATCGTGGAGTATATATATTTAAGAGGCTCTGGTGATATGGTCATGAACACCTTTAGTAAATGCGGGGATAGCAAGAGAGGTGGGATACATCGGTAAGGTTCAAAGACATGCTTGGTACTTCTAGAAATGCAACTCAAGAATAGAATGTTACTATAAAAGGGCACAGTGGTCTAACCTTCTGAATTTATGCACATGATCGCTGTTGCCTGTACATTAACCATCAATTTTTGCTAATTAATTCCTGCGTTATGGTACTACTTCTTTGAATTTTTGTCAGTGTCCCCCAATAGTCTGAATAAGCACAAATACAATATAAGATGTGCAGCAGCTTGTAACTCCTATAGAGGGTGTTGTGCCAACCACTTATCCTGCTGGTTTGGGGTATGGGTGGGTGATCTAGGATCTATCTCTAGCTCAAACATTATTCTTTTTTTGCTTGTTAGGCAAGAAGAACCTTCACTGACGTTATTGATACTTGCCCATTGCTAATAGACTGCCAAGTTCACTAGAGCACAGAGTTTGAATTTGTTAGTGCGCGGCGGGTTAGATCATAGTATACGTAGAAAATTCAAGACTATTTGAGAAATATCAATAGAGGTTGGGGTTTCTTCGTTGTTCAGGGTAACTCGAATATTCGGATTTCTGTTAGGGTTTCCAGTATTAGGGTTAGATACCTAAAGCCTATTGCTAGTGTGCCCCTACCCCCCCTCCCCCAGCTTGGGAAATGAGGGGAGCGCCAAGCAGTGGTGAAATGGAAAATCTGATAAGCATTTAAGCTTTTAAGTGCTATAAAGTAGGGAAAGCCGTGTGCATATGAGATGAGGCAATATTGACAAGAAACTCAGATCGCACTACATGGTATTAAGTAATAAGAGGTAAAAAATACCCTAAGTGTCAAATATTACAACATTCCTTCTCTCCAATTGCAAGATTTTAATTGACATGCAAGTCGATGGTGTGGCCGTAGGAAGAGGACAGGAGCGTCACAGCTCTGGGAAAGCAAGTTTTTGGGTTTTATTTTTTCTTTAAAAAAACTACTCATTACTCCTATTCGATTCCAGCAAGAGGAAAATGAAGAGCCCCCCCTAAACCCGCGTGGATTCAGGACAAGGCAAGTTAATCTGCCAGGTCCGGCGCCTATAGCAAAATGGCAACAGCAAAAATGTAAAACCAAACGATATAGACAAACTTAAGGGCTTATTGGCCAAACAAGCGTGAACAAAACTAACCACCAGACTCGAAAGGATCGAGGCCTCCGTGCTGTCATTAACCGGCAGTGCCAGATGCCGGAAAGAAGCGGTAAGGAAGTTGAGTAAAGAGAAATCGGATATGAATCGAGCCTATCTCCTCGCTACCTAATCGTCGATAGAACTGTATACCTTTTAGGGTCCCCCTCTTCCGGCTAGCTATCTGTAAAGGAAACCGAGTAGGGCCTCTACCGCATCACATTGATCCCCGTCTTCTTTCTGGATCCATATGAGACGGTCGAGATCTTCCGAGTCCTCAATGCTGCCCAGAGCAGCCCTTTGATCGGTGAAGTCAGAAGTCGAAGGTGATGTGACGACCGTCTTGTGTGTGGTGATCGCACAGAAGGCACTTGAATCGGATTTCTGGAAAAGGTAAGCAGTCTGAATAGGTTCATGGTAAGTGGCTAGGGTTCCAATTATTAAACTTTCTGGATAGCTCCACTTACTGTGTACCAGCCTCTACTTAAACCTATCTATTCGGGTGATGGGCGCTCGCAAGACTTTGTTGGGAGGGATTGGGGTTGTCTGGTTGGCACAAGGGATTGGGGTAACACATAAAGTACATAAGTAGGCGATAACTGGAGTGAGTCTCTGTTCGATGTGTGGTGAGAGATCCATAGCGTGGTACTTATAGGAAGGTGGTACAAAACTCTCACTATCTGACAGCTATCATAAAAAGGCACAGTGGTCTAATGGTATGACACCTGCTATGTAGGTACCTGCTGATTCAGGCAGAGGGCGGGGGATCTGGGTTCAATCCCCAGCTGAGCCTTTATCTTTTTTCTTTTTTCTTTTTTCAGCTTTTTGCCAATGAACCAACATATACGAGCGGTAGCTGGTATTAAAGCTCAAATGGTACTGCTAGCAAGAGTCTTGCTATCAGGCTGTTATCATAAAAGGGCATAGTGGCCTAATGGTATAACTAACACCTGCTATGTAGGCTCCTCAGGCAAATGGTAGGTGATGGTTCAATTTGTTTACAAGGCGCCCAACCGTGTGGCTAGACGACTAACTGGGAGATGGCTCAAATGAAGGCAGTACAAGACTCTCGCTATCAGGCAGGTATCATAAAAGGTAGTCTGGCTTGCACTCATAAAAGGGCACAGTGGTCTAATAGTATGATACCTGCTATGTAGGTACCTGCTGATTCAGGCAGAGGGCGGGGGTTCAATCCCCAGATCACCGTTTATGAGACTAGATCACCGTATACAAGGCGGCTAAGCTGGCAGGGCTCAAATGGTACTTCTAGGAAGGCAGTACAAGATTCTCCCTATCAGGCAGCTATCATAAAAGGGCACAGTGGTCTAATGGTATGACTCCTGCTATGTAGGTACCTGCTGATTCAAGCAGAGGGTGGGGGATCTGGGTTCAATTCCCAGCTGAGCCGTTATTTTTTTTCTTTTTTTAGATTTTCGTTATTGAATGCGGCGATAGGAGAGGGAGGCAATATACAAGGCGCCCAAGACGACGGTATGGCTCAAATGGTATGGCTCAAATGGTACTTCTAGGAAGGTAGTACAAGACTCTCACTATCAGGCAGCTATCATAAAAAGGCACAGTGGTCTAATGGAATGACACCTGCTATGTAGGTACCTGCTAATATCAGGCAGAGGGTGGGGGATCTGGGTTCAATTCCCAGCTGAGCCATTATTCTTTTTCTTTTTTAGATTTTTACCGTTGAAACACCAAACCAATGAAGATAGAATAGAAGAGGGAACGAGCGCTCAGAAGGGGAACTCTTTCTAGGTACCAAGGCAACCGCAGTGGATGGCAATCGAGCAGGCCTCGTACTCGCCCTATAGACCCAACCAAGATTGCTCGATGCTGCTCTCCTGCGGCGCGGTGCCCAGGCCTTACAGCGAAGGACAGATCAAAGAGCTCCTAATAAGGGAGTCGGCCTTGACACATGGGATAGGCTAGATCAAGTGCCATATAGGAAATGAGAAAGCTGACTGTCGTGCCAACAAGGACCAACCTCTGCCCCTTCAACTCATGAATCCACTACCTAGACTGCCAACCAGACTACTACATCTAGGCAAGGTAGGCTCAACCGAATACCCATGATGCAGTAATTATAAAGCTGAGTCGCATGTTACTGTTACTGTAGACTTCCACGCCCCTGGCTCGGCTCGTGCCCAGGCCTACGCATGTAGTTTTTGAGTACGCCAGGTTCAGTTTAACAAGATCAGAGTTCATTCCAATGACAGTGGAACGATATGGAAGAAGGACAAACGATGAAGGACAATGATGAAGGGGAGGCATGGGACGCAGTCGAGCATTTCTTTCCCCATACCTACCAAGGTTATCGTATAATACCTGTTTCGCACGATATTCCCTGTACATTATACGCGCGGGCGGTCGATTAACTTGCCTGAACCCCGAACCTACAAGTATAGCTTTTTGGCTAGAAGATAAGATCCCCTTCACGGTTTCACCAAAAGAAGGAAAAAAAAAATAACGGCTCAGCTGGGAATTGAACCCAGATCCCCCACCCTCTGCCTGATATTAGCAGGTACCTACATAGCAGGAGTCATACCATTAGACCACTGTGCCCTTTTATGATAGCTGCCTGATAGGGAGAGTCTTGTACTGCCTTCCTAGAAGGACCATTTGAGCCATACTGCCAGCTAGTCGTCTTAGACAGGGGCGCCTTCCCTCTTAGTCTGGTTGGTCCCTCTCCTATCGCCGCATTCAATAACGAAAAACTAAAAAAGAAAAAAAATAACGGCTCAGCTGGGAATTGAACCCAGATCCCCCACCCTCTGCTTGAATCAGCAGGTACCTACATAGCAGGAGTCATACCATTAGACCACTGAGCCCTTTTATGATACCTGCCTAATAGCGAGACCTGCTTTGTCTTGTCTTCCTAGTAGTCCTTTGAATAGCTAGTCGTCTAGCCACAGTTGGCGCATATTGATCGCCTTTTATACCTCCAAATAGCTTCCCTCTCCTGCTATTTCCGCATCACTGGTATCTCCTAAACTTGAATTTTAAGCCTAGAATTTTTTATTGATACAAAATCTCAATACTCGTATGCACTACCCTTTGATACGGTATGATGAGCTGCCCATAACGCAAACATATTCCCACGTTCTCATCGTAGTGTCATCGAGACCTCCTTCAGCAACCAGTTTACTCTCCCCTCTCAATCTCCTCCAATAGCTCTTCCGCTCTACTCTAAGGCGAGAGAAGTAGCGATAGCCTTCGCAGATATCAATACAGCACTGGTATCACCTGCCTCACGGTAATTACTGCTGGAACTGCCAGCTGATGGAGACTAACTGTCAGTGCCACAAAGTAATCCTGCAGCAGATTTACTTAGACATCCTGGACCTTCCTAAGCTCCCTGAGATGCTATAGAGTACCAAACAGTTCCGTGACATAGCTGATAAGTCCAGCAAAACCACAAGGTAGTTGGGAGTGCAGCGGGACTTATGACACTTGCCATGTAATTTCCTGGTGCCTTGAGACTGGGAGTGGGCGGTATGATCATTCCCAGCTGAGCCGCTATGATTTTGGATTTATTTGGCGGGGGATCCTCAGTTGCTCAACCTCTGCACTCTACTCTCATCACTAACCGGGCTTTATCTAGTAGGAAAAATACTAGCCAGTTGGAATTTACCATCACAGCCATGACCTACCTATCAGCACAAGTCATATAAGATACAAGAGCGCACATGAGCGCATCAGACACAGATGTTGATGGGAGGAGGTATGATGAAGTTCTGAATATTCTTCTTACATTTTATGACCCCGGTGCTCTGCTAAATGAATCACGATACGCATATCAGCAGTCGAACAGCCGGAGCATGCTAAAACTAAACGAACCAACACCTTATCCAGCGGAGGAACATAAAACTATCTCCAACCTAGAAATCCTCTCTCATCAATGTTAAGCATGCCAGCTGTTCTTCGGGTTATTAAAAGTAGGCACCACCAGACATGAGATAATATGGAAGGTACAATTAGAAACTTAACTGGCCGAAAATGCAAAAGGAATGGAAAGATGGAAATGGATTCGTCCTCTTCACCATTTTCAAACACAAAAAGTGATCTGAACAGGATGGGACCATTCAAGTTGGGAACAGTTGCATCGATTGAGCTGAAAAAGGCCTATGAAGGAAATACTAGGACAGAACTCTTGATAACCTTATCAACGTCTCCATTGATGATCGGAAAACACCATCAATGAACATATCAGTGCATATAAGAAAGTCTAGAATACTTTTGTAGGAATATTGGCATTTGCAAAATGTGAGATCCCAAAAGTAGGGAGGGACAAAGGATGACCCGTCATCCTGGGAACAGAAGGATAACAGAACAGGAACGATAGAAAGAAATATTCTTATTTATCTCAGTCAGGTGGAGAGATCTGGAATCATGGTGCTTTACCCAAAACGCCAATCATTCACAAAGACTAAAAGGAAATAGAGGAGTGCGCTGGCAGTGGCTCCCAGAGCTCTGGGCTCCGAAAGTCGAATCTCCTACATAGTAGGCTCCTCAATCAAGCTTCCTATCGAGCCTCCCAATAGCTTATTTCTGATGGTGTTCTCAAAAACTCTCTTGAGCATTTAAAAGGCCATATAACAGAGCCGCAAGGACATCATGGTCACTGGAGCAATTACATTCAAATCTAGTGAGCCATCAAGCTCGCGCAACACCAGGCAAGTAATTTAGATACGTCCTACTAGTGACAGACGACTACAGTCACCAAACCGCAAAAGGAAAAGCAACACAGTCTTACGTTATTAAGATACCTCTGTACCTTGGAAAGGTCTTGGTCATAAATGCCGACAACGACTAATTTCGCAATACTGAGTGAGCCTCGTTGTGCCAACCAGACTATGAGTGAGCTAGAGAAGGAATTCAAGCAGCACGACGTCACCCTTAATTAGGGTAGGGAAACGGTCCCTCAACACAGCGAAACAATTGCCATAGTAGAATAAGCAAACAGGACAATTCAAAGCATGATTGAACCAGGGAATCTGAGATAAGGTCTCTCGGTGGGCAGACTACGCCAGGTATTGGAAGACAATTCAAGAGGCACTTTTCTTTTTTCTTTTTTGGCAACAGGTTTTTTTTATTCATTTTTTTGGAAGTCTATACATCTCTGGAGCCCTTAGGCTATGAGACGGCCCCGTTCCCTCATCTTAAAAGACTCGGTACGCTCACGGAACAACGAGCCAATTAACGGAACCAACTAACGAAACCACAACTGTGAAAGACCCGCCAGCTATATAACATGTATGGGGGTGTGAAATATCAAACAAAGTAAAAGAAATAATGATAAGCCATCAGTAGAAAATCCATTACCGGAAAATCCATTACCGGTCGCTGCAAAGCCAACTAACGAAACCAACTAACGAAACCACAACTGTGAAAGACCCGCCAGCTATATAACATGTATGGGGGTGTGAAATATCAAACAAAGTAAAAGAAATAATGATAAGCCATCAGTAGAAAATCCATTACCGGAAAATCCATTACCGGTCGCTGCACAAATTCGCCCTCCGCCTTCATCTGTTGAAGTCATAAGCCTCAATTGGGAGCCAGCGTCCCCTCATCTTCAGGCGACTCCCAACGGCTACTTTCCTATCAAAATACACCACAACGGAGCTGGTGACTTTCCCAAGTCTCCTATCATCTCCCAAGAGCCAACGTGCCCTCATAATCCCTCGCACTCCTGTATCCTGTATAATCTCTGCCATGGGTCTCTGACAAGGGACCCCATGAATCACAATCGCCTTCGATCTACCTATCTCCCCTACAACATAATCTAAGTGGGTTGCGACCGATACCGCCCCAACCTGTATTTCCTTACCCTTTGCCTGCCATTTCTTCCGCTCTGAGACCACCATCTTCCTTGACCCCTCCCCCGTCTCATTCTCCGCCCACTCCTTCCGGTTTCTCTCACATATCTGTAGTTGATTTCCCGTGCACTCCTCGGCCAGCTGTTGCCTCCCCTCCCCATCTACTGCTCCGGCCTCTTCAAGAATTAAAACCATATTAATGTCTTCTTTAGGAAATAAAAAAGTAATGGATGGTGCTAGACAGTATTCTTCCGGTACCGTTTATACAATCTAATTCCGGATTACCAGACGTTTGCGTATTACAGTTCCACTGAGGCAAGGCCTCAAAGAAGCAGGGTGAAGACTGCGTGGGACACAGTAGAAATTAACTGTCTTCTATGAATTGAAATTATTTAAAAAACTATCTAAGTTATATAGTGATGATACTACTATGATCGTAGTATGACAAAGGAAATGAGATGTTAGGTTGCGTTCTGAAGGTTGTGTTCTGAAGGTTGCGTTCTGAAGGTTGCGTTCTGAAGGTTGCGTTCTGAAGGTTGCGTTCTGAATGGTCTATTATGCTTGTCTGCTGTATTTC